GCTCCCCGCCGCCACGACACGCTGCCCTCTCCCTCCTTTCGTAAGTTTACCCGTCCACCACACACACACACACGCGTGCGTTTTCTCCTCTTTATCCCCCAGTCTTTTTTTGTTTTGTTTTTTTTTCTTACAGCCGCACTGCAAGAACGCACCCGCAAGCTCCCCCAGTGTGTCTCTGTCTCTCATCCCGACGATAATGCCTCAACCGAAGTCTGCCTCATCAAAGAGGGGTTTCGCCTTCCCCCTCCTTCTTTTTTTTCTATCCACACTTCCTCCTTGGCGTTGCTCTGCTCCCCTTTCCTTCCTTGGGCGCTTCGGCGTCATCGCCCCAACCCCCATACTCCCTCTTCTTCCGTTTTTCTCTTCCCTTTTTTTCGCCTTGCCCTGCTGTTTCATCTTCCTTTTTTTTTTCTTCTTCTTCTCAGCTCGTCTTCTTTTTTTGTTCAGTCTCTCTCGGTCCCTCTTTGTTTGCCGTTCTTGTGTCCCTCCTTTTTTTTTTGGCCTTTTCTTTTGCTTTTGCTTTATGGCGTCATCTCTCTTGCTCGCGCGTGTCTGTGGCCACGGGGTCTCTATATAGATCCCCTCCACGCCCCCGCGCCTTCACCGTCTGCAAGTGCACACGCGCACACGCTTTTCATATCGTTATTGGCCAGCGCGGCCAAGGCCTAGCACTTGCGGTGCGACTTTACCTTGCGCACAATTTCCTCGAAGTCGAGCCCCGAGACGTCGTTCGCCTGAATGGGCTGAAACCCCTCTGTCGGCGCCTGCAGCGCGTCGCGGCTGCTGCTGTACAGCATCTTCGTGCGCGGGGCGCCCGAGTCGGGGTTCCAGCTGACAAGGATGAGCTTGTCGCGTTTGCCCTCGTTTGTTTCGTACTCGAAGTCGCACGCGGCGTAGCATGGGATGGACTTGTCGATAGCGTCAACAAACTTCTGGAAGTCGGCGTCCCGCTCGCCCACTGTCTTGACGTCTATGCTCTTCTGGTCCACAATGTGAAGGATGACGTAGCGGGACTTCTTGTGCCGAAGATCCGTGAGCGCCTTGACGCACTCATCGGAGACGGAAACACCCGACATGGCCATGATTGATTGCTTGACGGATTTGTGGGTTGCCTGTTTTGGGGGAAAACTTGGCGCTAGTAATGGTGCTTGCTACTCCTGCTGCTGCTGCTGTTTTCCTTCCTGCCTTGCCGCTCGGCCTCGTGAGGAAAGCTGCTGCTTCTTCGTGCGTGCGTGAGTGCAAATGTCGGGGAGACGGAGAAGAGTGTGAGCCGCCGGGCGGCCACGGCGTCAACCAAGCCGGCCAGACGCACCAAAGAAGGTTTCAAACGAAAAAAAAATAATAATAATAAAAACTGGGGCACAGACCACCAGAAGCCGCAGCAGGTGTGGGGGGTCGCTACAGCCCGAGCAGGCCGCGCACGAAACTCGTTCTGGCGGCGCAGGGAAGGAAGAGAACGGGCTCGGCATCCGGCGGCGCTGCCGCCGCCTCCACCCGCGGCTCTGCCGGGGCGGCGTCGGAGCGGGTCTCCGCACGGGACGGCGGCCCTGGGGCAGCGGGAGGAGCCGCCGCCGCGCCGCAAGCCACGCCGGTGTACAACGCGCCGCTGAACGCGAGGTAAAACACCGCCACGAGCCCCGCCGAGCTCTGCAGCAGAAGTTGTGGGGCATCCGCTTCTGTCGCCTGCGGTGCCGCCCGCCGCCTCGTGGTGGACGAACTGACGGCGGCAGCCGCAGCTGCGCTCGCCGTCGCCCGTCGCGGACGCGTGTGGGCCGGCGGCTGTACCCACGCGGCGCGTTTCGCCCCCGCCGAAGCCGCGCTGACGCGTCCCGCATCGCCCGTAGCGCCGGTGCGGCCGAGCACGACGGCCGACGCCACGCCCTCCGCCGCCGCCCCCTCGCCCTCCTCAGCCACCGCGTTCAGCCTGACGCCCCGCCAGAAAGCCAACGCGCTCTGGACGGTCTGTCCTTCCGCCGCCACCGAGGTGTACTGGGCCCGCAGGCGCTCTGCATCCTCTTCAAGCCGCTGCAGCGCCGCCACGTCCCGCACGGTCACCTCCGCACAGAAGACCTGCGAGATGGGCGCGAGGCACCGCAGCCGGGCGGCGGAAGAGGGGAAAAAGCGCACGTGTATGTCATAACGGCCTCGCTCCGCCCCGGCAACCGGCGTGGTCCCGCTCGCGTTGATCGCCCCACGCTGAGAGGGGGAGGCATCTCCTTCGTTGCCTTCGCCAACGACCAGCGGCATCACACGCGTCGAGACAAGATCTGCGATCCGCTGCGCCAGCCCCGCCAGATACTCCTGCGGGTACTGAACCCACATGCGGTGCATCGCCGTCCCCGCAGAGTAACCGTGCTCCCTTCGCAGCAACGCCAACAACGAAGGTGGATCTGCATTTTCGCCCTCTGCAGCTACGGAACCCGGTGTTGTGCCTTCCCCGTCGATTGCGCCGCGCGCAGTGTTGGGTAAAGCCGCCGCGCCTGCCCGGGCCCGCAGGCACGCCGCCTCCTCAAGCAAGGCGCCGAACGGGTGCGGCGGCGGCGGCGGGTTGGCGAGCAGGTCCGCGTACACTCGCGCGCGACGGAGACTCTGTGGCGTGATTGCAGGCCCAAGGTGCAAGAGGGGCGGCGGCCCTGTCCCGCAAGACGAGGACGCAGAAGCCGCACAAAATCCTTCATCTTGCATTGACGTTATTCTCCTTCCTTTCCTTCTCTTGCGCGAGGCGGTTGGGAGAATGGACAAAAAGAAAAAGGAGAAGGTGAATCACGGCTCCCAACAGGTACGGCGGCTGCAGCGGCGGCCCACAGTCTACTACTCTCCCTCCCACACACACACGCCATAACTGCAGAGCAGGATGCACACCACAGCAACCACGTGACATATGCGTCCATCATTATCCCCTTTTTCGCCACACGCACACACACACACAGAGACACAGGCAGCGTGAAAAACGGTCGCCGGTGCAGGGAATAAAATAAAAGGCATTTAAAACAGTCTACGGGTGAATAAACACAGACACACACACACACACATATATATAAGGGGGGGAAAAAAGAGAGAAAGAAGGAAACAAAGATACAGAACCACGCGTGGCAAAACACACACACACACCGAGAAAGATACAAAGCACGGAGAGTGTAGAGAGGGAGAGAACCAGCAAAGGGAGACCAAAACGTGACGTTCATCTAGTGGACATCGGCCCCAGAACGCAACGCCTCTAAGATTTTTATAGTCTCCTTCAGGGATGTGAGGTACTCCACCCACTGTTGGCTTCCGCGACACTGCGGTAGTTCTCGCCAGAGCAGCGATTTCACCCGCCGGCGCAAGCGTCTCTCCTGTCGTCGTAGCCACTTCGCCTCCTCCGGCACGGATTCCTGTTGGGTCTCATCACGTGCGCCGGAACCACTGAGCGGGGCGTCACTCGCAGGGTTTGGTCTCACAGATGCATGCTCGCTAACTGTCGCCGCAGCAAAGTTATTGCCTGTCGCTGGTGCGCAACGGGAGGCCAGCTGTGACGAAGCAGGGCTGTCCTGCCGCCCCCGTGAAACAGTGCGCCGCGGCAACGGACGGGGAGTCCTCGGGAGCAGTGGATTTCGCGCCCCTCGAGGAGTTGGAGACCGTGCGCTTCTGCCAGGGCAGACAGCGCCGTGTGCCTCGTCGCCGTTGCCGAACGCCCCTCGTTGGCGGCTTGGCGGGACGGCCACCGGCTGCATGTGCTCATCCACGAGAACAAGACAATAGCGCCCCACACAGACGGAACAGTATGGATTCAGGCGCCCCGGCCCAAGCGGACTCTGCGGATGCGTCGTCGCAGTCGGCCAACGTGTCGGCGACGTCGTCGCCGAGGAAGAGCGCCGCACGACAAAAAACGGCAGTCGCCTGCCCCGTGCATCGTAATACACCTCGGCGGTCGGATCCAGCACGCGATGGTAGGCGGCGTTGTAGTAGCAGTAGTACTCCCCCGGGATGCCCCTAAACGTCTCCTCCGCCCTGCCCCGCCTCAGAAGCGCCTCCTCCCGCCTCGCCTGGGGCCGCGAAGAGCTTCTGCTGCTCCTCCGCCCGCTCCGGCGCTGATGCAAGAGAAAAGGCTGAGGAGCGCAACTCTCACGCGCAGCCAGATCCGCTGTTTCCTCCGCGCCTTGGGCGGGCCAGTCACGTCGCCGCGACGGGGACGAAGCCAACGCCTCCCGCTTGGAGGGCGATTTCGGGTGCCCCTCCAACGAGCTCCGGCTGTGCGACCGCAGCGGGGAATCCCGCACCCCGGCAGAGACGGTGTCCCCAGAGGAGCGACCCAGCGGGTCCCCCTGCCGCAACCAAGGCACTGCGGCCGGTTCTGCAGGCGGAGGTGAAACATTTCTAGTCGCCACACCCATGGCAGCGGGAATGCCCTGCATTCCCGCCTCATCGACCTCTGTAGCAGTGTGCAAGCCCTGGGTGAGATACGACTCCAGCTTGATATCTCCCTCTGCGCCGCATCGTTGGCAGGGCCCCGTACGGGTCGAGGACAGCGAGGAAGCTCCTAACCTTGACTCGCTTCTCCCTTGCATCACGTCCTCCAAACCGCTCTGTGCAGCCTGCGCCGTCGGGGAGGAGGGGGCACCTCGGCTGTCCCCGCCGCTGACCAAGAGCGACGGCCCAGTGGGAGACGGCACTTGGACCGGTAAGGAGCACCGCATACTGCTTAAAGCCTTTGAGGTCTTGGGGAACGCACGCGACCGCCTAGGCTCACCCCGCAGCACGGTCCGCACGCGCTCCTGTAAGCGCGGTGTCAGCGAGGACAGCATCTCCTGAATGCTGGTGTCACTCTCCAGGGAGCCGGACGGCGAGGCTCCATCACTGTCGCCCTCCCCGCCGTGGTGGGGCTGTCGCACGGAGCGTTGAATGTGCCAGCTCACATCCGTCTTCGCCACCTCCACCTCCACGCTGCTTGAGGAAGAGCTGCCCAGGACGTGGGCAAAATCCTTAAATTGTGATGCCATGAAGGCGCCTTCGCGTCCTCCATCGCCAGTCGTCCTTTTGTCCCGCGTTTGCTTGTCCCATTTGGGTTCGTGACCCGGGTGTGATGAGGTGGCACGCGCAGAAGTCTCTTCCCGCTGCTCCTCAGCGGCATTGCAGCCAAGCAATGAAACCTCCTTCCCGCTTCTGATCCCCGCCGAGTCTGAAGCTGCAGCCGCATTTGCCGCGGGCCCGCGTGTTGGGGGGGAGCCATGCAGGAGGGATGAACCGTTTACCGTCCGCACAAACATGAGGTTGAACCAGCGGCGAAAGCAGTCAAGCAGCTGTTGGCCTTCCCTCTTCATAAGAAACGCCGCGAGTGTGCGCTCCAACTGACGCTCCTTCCTCCTGGCAAGCTCCTCCCGCAGCGAGGCGCTTTCAGAAACTTCCGAAGAGGCGACATGGTCGGCTTCTTGCGCTGCCGCTGCTCGCGAGGAGCTTCCGTCGTTGCTCGGGGCACCGCCACTTCTCTGCTCTGCCGGTGGCGGTGCACCGCTAGACATCTCCCGCGGCAGCGCCTTGCGGCGTGGGTTGCCCTCCGTCCAAAAGGGAGCGGGGGCGTCTTCGGTGTGGCAGCCCTCCATGTGCTCCTCACCACTGTTGTTGTTTTCTGAGGCGCTCGCAGAGTTTCCCGCGACAAAGAGCTTCTTGTGCACATGGGGGGGAGAGGTGATAAACGACACCGTCTCCCGTCCCGCGTGCTCCGGCGAGGGGGCGAACGCCTCGGCTTTGACCCCCTCCGCCCTCGTCGGAAACGCCATCGCACGCAGCAGGGAGATGGCCCCGGGGGACGTGTCCTCTGGCTGCAGCAACACCGGCGAGGCTGAAATGTCCCCCGTTGTGTGCAGCAGCCCTGAGGAAAGCGGCGGGGTCAAAGCCCAAGTCGCGCTCTCCACAGGGCCGCGGCCCTTGCGCTGAGCCGCAGCTCGCAACTGCAGGTTCCTTTGATGCATCCAGGAGGCCACGTGCTCGTTCCACTGAAGCTGGTGCTCCACAAAGGTCCCCACCAGCACCACGGAGATGCCGCACAAGGGGCACACGTGGCAGGTGGTGCTGCGCGCCGCCTTCTCCTCAGACCTCACTGTCGCGGCGGAGGGCACAGAGCCGGGGACGTTGAATGTCGTCGAGTCTCCGTGTGTGGGGTTACCAAGCTTCGGCGACGCTACTGAACTCTGTGGTTGAGCCGTTGATTCTGACAAGCAAGCATGAGCCGCGTGGGGCACATCCTCCTCAGCATGTACAAACATAGGCGCACTCCGTGGCACGTCCATCGCAGCTCTTGTCGGCAGAAGTTCGCTGGTGGGACGGACGCGCGGCGGGGACTGCAGGAGAGACCTCACGAACGACGGTGAGTCAGCCCGCAAACTCAACGCTGGAGACGTGAGTGTGGTTCGCGCGAACGGCTCACCCAGCTGCTGCCGGGGTTGTTGTTTTGGTTGTTGTTCAGCCTCCTGCAGAAGTGCCGCGCCGCGCAGACCCGGCGAAGGCATCCGCTCCGCCGAATTCTCCTCGGCCTCGAGGCCAAGCGCCAGCGGGCTGGAACCCGGCGAGGCGGAGGTCACTCTAAACGAGGACTGCGCCACGGCGGATGCAGCAAGCGAGGTGTTCGTCGCACTGCGAGAAACGCTGACCCGAAACAACTCCATCGCGCGGTTCTCCATGCTGCCCCCACGGCCTCTTTGTCGCCTCTGCCACTGCGCGGCTGCCTGCCGCTGCCGGTCGCGCGCCCCAAACTCCCCTCGTCTCCGCCCGGCGTGCGTGCGTGCGTGTGTGTGTCTACGCCGCCACAGAAAAGTGTCCCTGTCGTGGCGGCCCGGGGCGGCCCTGCTGGCTGCTGCAACGAGTAGCTGCTGCTGTTGCTGTCGGTGTTTTTCCCCCTAGCGGTGGAGAGGTGGACGCTCGGAACGCGCCTGCCGCGAATACGGAGGAGGCGCAGTCCAGCAAAAGAACGCAGGGCAAAAAGAAAAACAAAAATGTCAAACGAGGGAAAAACAAAAAAAATAGTGGGAAGGATCCACAAAGCCGTGAAAACAAAAGCAAGAATAATAATAGAACGTTAAGCGGGGAGCGGGGAAGAGGGGAAAAGCGGCCTGCGCAGGTGCCGAGGACGAAAAACAATAGTGTCCGCCACGCTTCAGTGCGCGTGACGCCGTTTGTTACGCCGCTTTCCAGCGGAATTGGCGCCGCTGCCGCCCGTGCGGCTCTTATTCCCTTCAGACTTAGTGTGGACCGGGCGCGCCTCGCCCCCGTCCAGGTCTTCCAGCGGCTGCGTCACTGCTGCGTTGGCGTACGCGATGGTGCTGACGCGATTCACCCGGTAGCCGCGCCTCAGGAGCTCGGTGAGAATGTGGGCGATGTTGCGGGCGTCATCGATGCCGCTGTGCGGGTGGCCGAGAAACGACAGCCCCAACCTCCGTAGCATGTCCGTCAGCTTGCGCGGGCGCACGCGGAAGAGGTCGGCAAAACTGTGACGCACATTCACCCAGCGGTAAAAGAGTGGAGGGAACTCGTGTCCGTCCCGCAGCACGCTGCACTCGTACATAAACTTCCGCATATCCCACGGGCCGTCCGTCGCCATGCAAACCATCCGCTCGCAGTCGGTCCACGCCGGGGCATGCGCCTCGTCGTACGCAAAGCGGCGCTTTTGCGACTGCATGGAGTTGCTCAGGCGCCCCGGGTGCGACGTCGCCCACTGGCGGCAGAGCGGGTAGACCACCTCCCGCAGCCAGCGGTCAAAGCGCCTCAACACCTCCGGCAGCGTCGGGGCCGCATCCACCTGCGCCTGCGTGATGCCCGTCAGCGTCGTGCAAAATTGCGTCAAACGCGGGTTCCTCGTGGGTCGCACGTATGAGTGGAACTCCGCCGCAACGCACAACTCCGCGGTGTCGACGCAAACCACCGGGAACTCGATGATCTCGTGCGGGTAGCCCACGCTCGCGCCGTCGCATGTCGCCTCAAAGTCACACACCAACAGGTGAGAAAACGGCTGCGGCACAAGTCGCCGTTTGCTCTGCGGTGATGAACCGTGCCGGCGATCGGCGGCGCCATCCACGCCGGTTGCGCGGCCCGTCGTCCCCCTCTCCGCCGCCCGCATCATTTTTTTGTGCTCCGCCCCACCGTGGCCGCTGGACCCCTGCAGAAGGATGTCAAACCGCGTGCCCGTTCCGCGCAGAGGCCCGCTGCCCTCCGCAGCGCCGTCGTCCGCACTCGTCGGGGACGCGCCCTCCTCCGGCGTCGGCCGCAGCTCCTTCCGGGTCAGAGCCACCTCCGCCGCCAGGTCCCGCGCCCGCATCGCCCCTTGTTGCTTCGCCCTCACGTTGTGTGCGCTTTGCTCGTGCCTTCTTCCGCCCGGCGCCCCCACGCCGAGGACGACGACGCGCCCTCGCCGCTTGCCGCCCGCGCAACCTGCTCGCTAACTCCCGGACTACAAACCAAAAGGGCGTGGACGCGCTTTGACGACGCCCCGCAACCCGTTCGGTAGGGAAAAATTGTCACTGTTTTTTTTTTCTTGTTGCCACGCCGGCGGGGGCGGGGGCAGCGACAGGGAACCTTTGCAAAGGAGAGGCGGAGCAACAGGCAAAGGCAATCAGGCGAGGGCGCCCACCCCTACGGTGCCTCCCACCCGGCCCCCAACGAGCGGCACAGACGCAGACACGGAGAGATGGGCCCAGGAGGCCCTCCCCCGCGTCTCTGCCCGCACGCCCCCCAAAATGCGTGGCTGTAGGCGGAAATATATACAGACATATACGCGTATACGCATATATGCACATATACACATATACAGGCGTGTGTATAAGAAACAGGCAGGGAGGAAGCAGCAAAGAAAAACCAGATTCGTCGGAGAAGCAGCTACCGCAAGAAGCATTGGCTGGTGCAACAGCCACAGTACTAGCAAAGAAGACGAAAACAAAAAAAACACACGCACAACAACAACAACAACAACAACCAAAAACAGCACTAAAAACAAAAACAAAAATTTTTCCTTTGTACAACAGAAAAGGAAAAAAAAACGGGTGTTTAGTGATGCGGTAACTGCATCGGTGGGGACGGAGATGGTCGCAAGCCACCCACCAGGTTGCCACGACTTCTAGGCACAAGCCGGCACACCTACGACTGGGCCAAAGAGCACAGCCAGAGAAAAACCAATCCGAAAGGCGCAAAAAAAAAAGAAAGAAAAAAAACTAAAAAAACTAAACAAGAAACATATCAAAAATATCCCAACTACAAACGGAGAACCGTGTGGGAGGGTTGGACGAAGCGCCCACTTCGGCAGCCCCGAGGACTGTCGCCGCCTCAACTCCCTCCTCGTCTCGCACGCATCCACGCCCCATCACCCTCTGTTCATACTCTTTGCGTTTTCTTTTCTTGCTCTTTCGCTGCACAGCCAAGGCGGGAAGAAGGAAAATCAAACAATCAAAGAAAAAAAAAGACAAAAAAAAACGTACACACGCACGAACAGACATACAAGCGCGGAAAAGGAGAAATATAAACGCCCAACGGAAAAAAAAAAAAAACAAGGGCACATCCGTGCCCCGTCCTTCCATCGCGCTCACGAAGAAACCTCCCCCACGTCTCTGTCGCTCACCACACCTAAGCACACGTTTTGGGGAAGTACAAGCCACAAATTGCCTTCATGTACATATCTATAGATATATATATATATATATATATAGGCCAGCTCACCCTCTTGGATTTCCTTCACCGCACATCTGTCTTTTCCGCATCCCCCTCTTCTTCTGCTTGCCTGTCTGCCTCGGCTGGGACTATGATGAAGCAGCATTCGCTGCATTTTTTGTCGATACCGGCTCTACCGTCGTCGCTGTCGCCGTCGCTGTCGTCGCCGCTGCTGTGGCTGTGGCCGTTGCTGCCTCCGACGGCATGAGGCTTGCGGTGGTAGCTGTCACCCCGTACGGCAAGCGGCTAAGTGGTATTTCACAGAAGGAGCATCCCAGCTTCAGCATGCGTATCACAATGGTTGCAACGTTCCTTGCGTCGTCAATGCCGCTGTGCAGCCGCCCCTCAAAGGGGCAGTTCAGCGCATCTAGCATCGCTCGTATTTTGCCCTGCTGGCACTGAAAGAAGTGTGCAAAGAAACGCTTCACGTCGATCCACTGGTAAAACATGCTGGGGAAGCGAATGCCCTGCCGTGAGACGCTATGAACATACATAAACTCCCTCAGGTCGGCGGGACCATCCGTGGCCAGCATGGTGCGAGAGCCGGGGGGAATGGTATGCGCATGCCATCGCTCAAATCGGCGAATGACCTCCTCCAGCGGCGAGGCGTTGTCGATATCTTCCTGACGAATACCCGTCAGACGGCGACAAAACTCACTCAGTTGGGGCTTCACCTTAGGCTTCACAAACTGGCGAAACTCAGCCACAGCCCGCTGCAGTCGTACATCAACAAGAACCACAGGAAACTCAATGATTTCGTGTAGATACGACGGCGGAATGCTCTCCTCGCAGGTGGCTTCAAAATCCAACACGAGTAGATAGTCATACGGGCAGTGCGTCGCATTCACAGCGGGGTTCATAAAAGACAAGGGAGGGGAAGCAGGACCGCTCCAAGGGACCCGGGAGCGGTTGCCGTAGTAGTTGCCAGAGGTTCCATGCGCATAGTGGGCCACAGCCGCTGCAGCGGCTGTGCGGCGACGAAGCATGTCCTCACGAGACTCCAGTTTGAAGTTTGTGCCAAGCGAAAATGGGGAGGGCCCTGTCGGTGGTGTCGCGCCGCCTACAACTGCCGTATTGGCCAGCGGTATGGCCGAGCTCACCGGTTCCACCGGACTGCCGCCGCTGCAGTGAAGCAATGGTGTGGTTGCGTAAGACGCAGGAGAACCCGTGTGAGGATCCACCGCCGGCGTTGATGCGGATCCACCGGAAAAGTAATACGGGGCCGCACTCAGTGGAGGAGTCGCCAAAAGGGAATGCAGTCGCGACTCAAAAGGGACGGCCTTGTGATTGAGGGTGCTGTTCACCGTCACATTTTCCACAACCAGCTGCAACGGCTGCTGCTGCTGCGCCTCATCCGCCCCGCCCCGTTGCGTCGGTTTCTGCGCCGTTGCCCTGTCCACGGAGGGCGGGGCCCGCTGTGAAGTGATGCCCGAATTCGCCGCCTGCGACGGTGGCAGCAGCACCTCGGCGGGACATGCGACTTCCAACTCCTTCGCTGACGCATCGCCGTCCAGGCACCAGTCACTGCCCAGTAGAGTGTCCAACACCAACGTCAGTTCCTCGCGATTCTGCACCAACTGACGCAGAGCACTAAGGCGAGTTTTGACCTCCCTCAATTGGCAATCAGCCGCAGTGCAAAGCGAGCCAGAGTTACAGCTATTGCTGCTGCAACCGCTACTGACGCTGACACCGCGGCCCACTACCCTGTCACTCGAAGCGCCCGTCTCACCGCCCCCCATGGTGGGGGGCAAGGAACTCGCACCATTCATCCCAGCCCCGTCCTTCCGGGGCGAGGGGGCTCCCAGCGAGGCACACCCCAAGGCAATCTCGCGTAGCAGCCGGACAACCTCCGAGACAGACTGCTCATCCACTGGCACAAGCTCAAACGTCTCTGCGCAAGTCTGAAGTCTGCTCGAGCCGATATTGCCTTCCTGTTGGGTGCCAGCATTTGAAACGGCACTAACGCCAACCGCGGCAGCAGCCGTCGAAGACGAAGAAGAGGAGCCAACGCCTCTTCTCACGACATCCACAAACGAGGCCCCTTTGTGCGCGACCCCCTCGAGCATGACGGACCCTGCATCCTCGCTGACGTGCTGCTGCCCATGCTGCAGCTTCAGCCTTCGGTACGCCTCAAGCGTGGAGGCGTCTGGTGGGCTGTGCATCAGCAAAGAGAGCCACTGGATGGCCAGGGACCTTGCCGCGCGGCACTTTTCTAACTTGGAATTCGCAGTTTCCTTCACGCCGTGGCAGCGTCCACCACGATGCAAGACGCGAGCCGAAACGCGTCGCTCTGCCTTGTTCGATGCCGCCCACCACGGACCTCCGTCCTCCGCATGGCCCGACAGCGACTGGCGGGTGTTCGGCAAGTCGTCGGAATGGCCGCCCTCAAGCGGGCCCGTCTGCTTGGCGCCGCTGCTCGCGAGCGCGCCCGTCCGCTCGCCCCGCGGCGACAACGCGTGGTACTGCACGTCCTCTGCGCTCATTACTCAACTTGCTTCTCTCGTTCTCACACCCTCACCCGCCCTGCTCTCTCCCTTCTAATTGCTCCCACACTTGTCGCTCGCTGCTGCCTCTCAATATCGTTTTTTTTTATTTTCCCCCGCTTCGTCTTGTTTTTCGTTTTGTTTTATTTTATCTCACCTTTTTCCTCTTTTTTTTCCGGATTCTTTTTTCTTTTCTACTTACTTTTCCCGTCAATTTGTTTTGATTCACGTTCGCCTTGCCCCCTCGCCGGGACGACTCGCACGCAGCCTTTGTTGCCGCTGTTTGCCTCTGCCCGCCTGCGGGTGGGGGGCACACGCGCCTCTGCACGCAAGAACGTCGGTGAAGGACCGGTGGGACACGCCGCCGCGCCCGCGCGTCACCCGGTGGGCGGCGGCAGAAGTGGAGCCGGGGGGCGAGTGGGTCCCCGAGCAGCGAAAAGGCCCCCACCACCACGCGCGCACGGAAGCGACGGTGACGGCGGCACGCGGGGCGCTGCAAACAACCAAATAAACAAATGGGCGGGGTGGGGTGTCGTCGCCTGCTCTGCTCAGTGGGGGGGGTGTCCTTCACTCCCTCCCGGCGTCGGGGCACAGACAAACAGAGAAGGGAGAAAAAAGAAAAAGAAACGAATGTACGAGTTTTACACGGCGCGGGGCGCGTCTGTGGGAGGACTGAGCAGGTCTTACCTAATATTTTTTGTATTTCGTTCTTTTGGTTTACCGCTCTTCTTCTTCTCTTTTGTGGGTGGGGCCTTCTCTCTGAGGCCCCGCGCAACTCACACACTCACTCCGCCTCTCACTGACTCGTTCTCCCCCCCCCCTCCTCGCTGGGTGTGTACTTTGACTCGAAACCGTGTGTGTGTGTGTTGTGCAGGATTGCTGCGTAAGCCCTTTTTTTTTTCTTTGGTTTGTGTTGCTGCCGACGGCCGGCGCCCCCGCCCCCTTCTCGCTGCCCCTTCCTGCCTGCCTTCTACTCCTGCCGAGGAAGGCGGTGTGTGCGGGGGAAAAAGTGCGCGCGAGCGCGAAACGAAAAAAAAAAAAAAAGAGGAGAGACGCAAAGGCATCGTCAAAGCGCAGCAGGCACCTCCACACTGCGTCAGACAAGCGACAGCCCAGCAGATGCACGTGGCTTCAGTAATTGCCCATTTTTTTCCCCTCCCCCTCTTTTTGTTGTTGCCTTTAAACACAACTGCTGCGATGTCCTCTCGCCATTTTCTCAGCCCGAGCGGTAGTGGCGGTGGTCGTGGTGGGAGGAGCTACGGAAGAAAGAAAAACTTCGCGTATGCGTGCGTCTTACACGTGTTACTCGTACGGGTGCCAACATCCCCAGCACGACGCATGCAGAGCAGGCCCCTACGCCGCACCACGCAAAAAGAAAAAAAAAGGAGGGAAAAAAATAAATGTATGTACTTTTCCGCTTACTGCCTTTTTTTTTTGCTTCTTTGTTTTAATTTAGACTTCGGCAATGCAGCGGGTTTACGGCGGCCGCCCCCACCACCGGGAGACCCTTGTGAAGAGCAGCGCAAGCAGCATCCCGGCGGCAACAACCACGAGCGCGCAGAGCGCGACCAGGCGACAGCGAATGGCCAGCCTCCCGCGGTGCAGCCTCTTCTCCATTTGCTTCACGGTCATGCCGCGGAATTGGTGGGGGTGCTTCATGCGGTACTGCAGCACCGCCTCCCGGTGCCGCTCCCCAAAGCTGAAGTACTCCATGCCGTAGCACCGCTTGGCGATGTCGTCTACGACGTCGGGGTCAAGCCGCCCGCTGCCCTCCGCGCGGCGGTAGAGCGGGTAGCCGTCTAGCGGGTAGTGGTAGGCGTCCTCCATGGGGATGGTGATGAGGAAGTCGAAGACGCAGCCGGCCCGCATCATCGCCACGGCGAGCCGCGCAATATTCACCGCGTCGTCGAAGCCGCAGTGCGGGCGGCCCTCAAACTCCAGCTGCATCCGCCGCAGCATGGCGTCCAACTTGATCGGGGCGCCACGGTTAAAGTGGTGGGCAAACGTCGTGCGAATATCGAGGTACTCGTAGAAGATGCCGGGGAAACCCACGTGGTCGCGCAGGACGGAGTGCTCGTAGATGAAGTTCTTGAAGTCCCACGGGCCGTCCGCGGCGAACGCAACTTTGGCCCCCGCCGGAATCGTCGCACGGTACCACCGCTCAAACGCCTTCACTACCTCCGGAAGACTGGGCGCGCCGTCCACGTCCGCCTGCGCAATGCCGGTCAGGGCCTTGCAGAAGCCGGAGAGCACGGGGTTGCGCCACGGCCGCACGTACGAGCGAAACGAGCGCTGCTTGTCCACCACGCCGCGACGCACGTCAATGAGCACCCCTGGCAGCTCGATGATTTCGTGAGGGTAGTTGGCGTTGCCCTCCTCGCAGGTCGCCTCGACATCCACCACAATGATGTAGTCAAACAGCTGGCGGTCCAACGGGTCCGCCTCGTCGTAGATGCTGGCGCACGGCACCCGGCCGCGCTGCTGCCCCTGCAGCGCACGCTGCCCCGGTTGCGCTTTGCTGCGGCGCGATGCAGCCGGACGCTGCCCGTGTTCGCACGCCCGGCGCTCCTTGTTCGCCTTCCGTTGCGCCATGGCGCGCTTTGTGTGGCCCGGCATGCCCTTTGGCGGCTGCTCAAGCGCACGTGGAAGAGAAGACCGTCGCACGTGCAGGGAAAAGCGCGGAGGCAAAAAACACACACGCACACATACACACAAAAGGGAGAAGAAAAATTAAAATTAAAATTAAAAAATACGCCGCAAAAAACGTCACACCAGAAAGAAATTCTGGGCAAGAGGAAGTGCGCAGAAGTGCAATGCGGTGAGGCACACACGCACACACACGCATGCGCACATGCACCCGCTGAGGTCCGTCTCTTCTCAGAGAAGCCTCTGGGTCTTTTGTAGGCAAAATAAAAATAAAAAACGAAGTGCCAAAAAGAAAAAAGGCCAACAACAAATTTTACATCTGCCTCCGACGTTCGCCCGCTCACTTCTCGATCGAGTCTTCGTTGTTTCTCTCACCCCACACGCACACACGGAGGGGGCGAGGAAGGAAAAGTTGTCTACCGCGCTAACGCTTTACTTTTTTGCTTGCGCGCGTGCGACTACGCCCTACGCATCACGCGGAAGCCGCAGAGTCCTCCTCCGGGGCGGGTTTGAACGCCTCCCTGCATGAAAGGAAGTAGCAGTGGTTGTACAGAAGCCGGGCGGCGGCCGAGACGTCCTCGCGGAACTTCCGGCAAAGTCTGCTGTGGTACGCAATGACGTCCGTGAGAAATGCCTCCTCTTCCGGCGTCCGGAGCTCCACCGCGCCGTTGGGGCTCCAAATGGAGGTGTCATCAGTCGGCCGCTGCAGCCGCTCCTCGCCGTTGAGTTTGCCAATGATGATGTCCACGCAGAGCTGCAGCAAGGGCAGGCTTGTCTGGTACGGCAGGAGCACCCGCAGCATGTCGGCCGACGGGATGAGGTCGCAGAGGCGGCGGATGTCGCTCTCGCACGCGTGGAAGTGGTGCGCCCCGAGGGCCACGAGCAGCGGGACGGAGGAGCAGGAGGTGGAGAGGCGCGGGAAGTGCTCGAGCAGCGCGCGTGCGGCATCCACGTAGCCGTTGGCGATGGCGTAGTAGAGCGGAGTGCACTGCGCCTCGTCGTGTATGCTCACGTCTGCGCCGGCGCCCAGCAGCATCCGCACCACCTCCCCGGGGTCACTGTTGGGGTTGTTCACGGCACACAGCAGGGGCGTCCAGGAGAACTGGGCCGAAATGGCCGGATCCGTCACGGTGGTGTTCACCACCACCGCAGACCCCCGCTCCAGCAGGGTCCTCACGTAGCGACTGTTGTTGCGAAAGCAGGCGCGGTGCAGGCTGGAGGCGGTGTGTGCGGTCGCGTTGTTGAACTCCGCCCGCGGGGCGTCGCCCTCCGCCGGGTTCTCCACGAGTTGGTAGCACTTCCCGCACGGCCGGCGAAACAGCTCCGGAAACGCGCAGCAGGCGTCGTAGACGGTGTCGTACTCCGCCATGGTGAGTCCCTCCGCCACCCACGCCCCGGTTTGCTGCGTGAAGCGTATCTTCCACGTCGTCAGGCCGCCGCCACCGTCTGCGCCGCCGCCACCGTCCGCGCCGCCGCGGTCCCTCGACCGGCGCAGGAGGACGAGCGCCACCACCTCCCCCGGGGTGTCGGTCAGCGTGGCGAGGCAGTCCCCCTCCTCCGCCCCCGCGCGCCGCGCAAACGCCTTTTGGTGGTACTCCAGCGAATGCTCAAGCTCAAACAGCCCCACTCGCATGTCTTCCTTCATGTTGCGGTCCAGCAGGAGAAAAGGGCCCCAAACGCTGAGGAGGCGCTTCAGGGTGTAGAGCGAAACTACCCCGCACCCCCGGTAGTTGACGACCTCCATAATCGGCACGCGCGACCATTCAGGGAACAGTTGAAGCGCGGGTGCAAAGTTCTCCACAAAGCACGCCGACCTCTCCTTCCCCACGTAGGTGTTCCAAATCTTCTGCACGGAAACGTCCCCCAAGTACGTGCCTGAATCGAAGCCGCTCGACTGCTGACACGCCTCCACGTACCAGCGCAGATGTGCCAAGTGGAACCCGACGTCGCCGTCGATATCGGCAAAGACGCACTCAAATTCAGCAGGGAGCGGCACTCCCTCACACACCCACAGCATCGCGTCTTCCTGCGCCTCATCCTCCAAGGAGGGTCTGCCTTTGGATCTTCCTTTTGCTCCGCCACGCACCGGGCTAGAGGGCGTCATCTCATCCATGTAGCGCTGCAGCTCCTCCAGTGCGCGGAGCAGCAGAGTGCATAATGCATCGGAAAGGCGGTAAAAGACGGGGGCCTGCTTCAGCGAACATTTGAACGATGTAATGCCCAAAAAGAAGTTGTGTGCCTCCTTCATGCGAGGAAAGACGTGCGCCAGCGGCACATCCGCCTCCGTGCAGGTGGTGTCCAGGCGTGAGGTGAGGGAGAGCGCGGTGCCCACCTGCGACTCCGCCACTGTCGTGAGGTCCACCCCGCGCAGGTGGTGCCTCTGCTCCATTATCACCGTTTGAAACTGCCGAAATTCCTTCGCGGAAAGGGGGGCCCCGGTGATCTCCGCCAGCAGCATTTCAAGCTCCTGCACAGGCGGGTTGAGGCCAACGGGGGTGAAGAGCTCGGGAAACTGCTTGCTGTCGACGTCGCTCACCACCCGCGCCAGGGCGCGTAGCTCGGGAGGAATCATAGCCCGCATGAGTGCAGCTCGTCAGGGGCACGTCCCCGCGGGCCTGTGTGTGGGCGAAAGAGCAAATGCCAAAAGGGGGAGAAAAAAGGAAAAAAGAAAAATAAAATAAAATGAAATAAAAAAATAAACTGGCGGTGGTAGTCGTTAAAAGGCAAAAAGAGACGACTCAGCAGGAAGAGAAGAAAGATGGCTCTTGGCACTCGGAAGACACGTAGCTAGAAGAATACACAGACGTAGTCGGAGGCGCATACATACATATAAATATACGCAGAAAGAGAGGGGGAACCGACATCGAAAACGGCAAATCACAACAGCAAAAAACCAACAAAAGAAAAGCATACAGGTGTGGACACTTACACGCACACACACACACACACATATATATATATATTTATAGTATTTTACATATACGGTTATTGCTACTTCTTGCGAGGAATGCAAATAAATGGTAGCGGGCGGCGGCGTCCGACGGAATTCGCCTGACTGTGCGATAAAATGACTTCAGGCGGAATTTGTCGCTGCACCAGATGAAGCGGCGGTAATGGCGGCATGTGCATCTGCATCCATGCGTTGGGTGAGTACGGCTTCTTGGAGTTCCGCTTATGAAAATCATGTGCACCAGGATACACCAACCGCCTTGTCGCCGGCAGGTACACCGCAGTGTAGCCCAGCTCTTGCCACTCCCGGAGAAGCTCCTCCTCGTCAACGCCGTTGACCCCCGCAGAGGGGTCCGTTTCCTCCCCTGTCGCCTGCAATGCATCCTCCGCGTCAGGGGCGTCGGTTGGCGCCTTTGCCTGTTTCTCCGCCGCCGCTGCGTCAACGGCGGTGAGGAAAACTCTCCTCCCAAGCGCGTCTCTGCCTGCGCCGGTGGGGGAGGGAGCACGGGCGGGGATCGGCACCTCCTCCATGTCACCCGCCATGAGCGCCAGTGCCGTCTGCCTCAACTGGCCCGAAAGCGCCGAGACGGGAATGTGCTGCACCGCATGGTTGCCAACGAGGCGGTCGGCCGGCGGATCGGCGGCTATTCGCTCCATCGCCCGCATGCGACGCTCCAGCGCCTTCGAAAACATCTCCTCGACAAGATTTAGCCGCCGCAGGGATCTTTGATGGCGATTCTCGGTTGCCTGCATCTTCTCCCGCCGGGCGCGGCGCTTGGCCTCCGCCTGCATCTCCCCGCCAAACACATGCATCTGCGAGGAGTGAATAATCCGCGAAAAGTCCAAGCCCAGCACGAGGCCCTCCTCCTGCACACTCGACCCCTCCTCCTCCGTGTCGGCAGAGGGGCGGCGGGGGCGCGGAGGGACGGGAACCATGCTGGGCCGGCCGCTACCCTTCTCGACCCCCTCCGCCGCCGCCGCGCCGGCAAGCACGAAAGATGTCCGGCTGTGCTCCCGCCTTGTCTGAGCGGAGCCGCGTGGGCGGTGGGAGGGGAGGGGCTGCACGCTCGCACCTGAGGTGCTTTGGCCGGCTTTACTTGTCCTCGTGTCACAGCTGCCCTTGTCGGTGATGGTGGCCCCAGCGTTGGGAGTCTCGGCTCCCGGCAGAGACTTTTTCTGCTCGGGAGGGCGCCGCTCTGATGCCTTTCGACCACTATGTTGCTTGCCACCTTGTCTCTGCTCTGCCGCGGTCGCTAACTTCTCTTCCTTTGCCTTCGCAAAGGACCTCACCGCCTTCTCATGCTGCAGCATGCTCTCCTCATCACGCAGTTGTTGTATGCGATGCTGCAACTCCACCTTCCTGCGCAGCAGGCTACTTTGGCGCCTCTCCGCTTCCGCCACTTCGCCGCCGCTGCCGCCTGTCCCACCCTCGACGCGGCTGGGCCCGGCAGGAGCCTCAAGGCCTTGCGCTCCCTCTCGCGGTTCCATCTGCCAGCGTTCCCTGCTGCTGCTGCTGCCGCCGCGACAGGCGGTGGAAGTCCCAGCAGACGCGCCCGATGTGCGGGCGCCGTCAGCGAAGGAACGGAGGGAATAAAGGAAGGGAAGTCAAGGGAAGTGACACCTCTTTCACGCGCACCGCTGAGAAGCAAAAAAAAAAGGAGCATGTGAGAGAAAGAGAAAATGAATACGTCACTAATTGGCGTCACCCGGGCTTTGTGACTGCTGGCGGCAAACAGGGAGTGGGAGGAGGAGGAGGAGGAGGAGAATGAAATAAAAATGCGGCGGCGGTGGCGGCGGCCCACCCCGCGCCATCAGTTAAAGCAGGCGGTCGAAGGACAAGTGAGGGGAGGAGGGCGGGAAAAAAGGTGCGCTGTGCCCCTCCACGCGTAAGAGCGAAGACAAAAAAAAAAGACAACAACAACAACACGGCGCAGAAGGGGGCCCAGAGGAAGAATGCAACAACAACAACAAGAACAAAAAGCCTGAAACCCCCCATTCCGCGCCTACGACACGGAAAAATCCCTTCGCTCCCATTCTCACATCTCATCGCGGCTTTGCCCGCCTCTTGACCAGCAGCCTCATTTGCTCTAGAACGTAATGGACGCAGTCCCCCTCCTCACTTAGACAGTCGTGCTCGGCATCCAGCGGGCCAACGCAGACACGGCGCACCAGGGTCGGGTTGTCCTCGGCCATCTGTACGGTGCCAAAGGTCTCTGGAGCGTTGGAGGCGCTGAAGCGCACGGTCCATTTCTCTTCTACGCCGCTGGCAAGCATCTCCCCCGGTCTTGGGGTGTCGCCAAGCACGGCGGAGTCCAGCTCGCAGCCTTCTCTCCCACGCACAAAGTAGTACTGCATGCGGCGTGAGGCCTGCCGTGAAAAGGGAATCCAAAGGCTGCCTTTGCCACCCACTGCCGACGACAACGATCGGTCCAATGTCTCGTACCACCATTGTGGGTGTCCCACGCAGCAGGGTTTCCCCCCGGTGCGCCACAACTCCTTTAGTACGGAGTCGCACTGTAGCACACGGTACGCGAACCCCTGATCCCGCAGCCAGCTCTGTCTCCCATAGCTCTGATGAACCTCATGCGTGTCCTGCGACACGAGGGTGTAAAAGTAGGAGCAGGTGTTGTCCAGTGAGGGTGGCTTAGGACGCAGGATACGACCCAGTCGCTGCGCCTCCTGGCGACGCGAGGCACCCAACCCGGAGAGCTGGATAATAACCGAGGCGCATGGAAGATCCAGCGCGACATCGCCAACGCGGGAGAGAATGATTGCGTTGATGTCGCTGGAGTGCTGAAAGTACTGGAGGAGGTTGGCACGCTCCACCTCCGAGGTAAACCCGTCCATGAAGGGCACGTTGAGGTGGCGCGCGTAGTAGTGCACCCCCTCCAAGTCGTCGCAGAAGATGATGACCTTGTCGGGGGGCGAGCGGTTGCGGTGGAACTCCAGCAGGGCCTGCGCACTCCACAGCTTGTACGGATTGAAGCACACCACGGCGCGTGCGAGTGAGTTTGTCCCGCGGCGCGCAAACGGGTCGTCCTCCGCCTGACTCTTTAGGTACTCTGTGAAGAAGGGTAGCGGAAGCGGACACTGCACCTCGGCGCACTCCACGCGGGCGAGAAAACCAGCTCGGGTAAGCTCAAGCCAGTTGGCCTCGTACAGCTTCGGCCCCACGAGGTGCCGCAGGTCGCCAATCTTGTCGTCCTCACGCAGAAGCGTCGCACTGAGGCCAACCACACACTTGTACTTGACCTTGTTGAGCACCTCCTGGAAGTGGTGGGCGAGGGCGGTGTGCACCTCGTCCAGCAGCAGTAGTCCCCACGCCTGCTCCTCCACGCTGGCAAGGATGCGGGCGGTCATCTTTGCATCCTCCCGCTGCTCCTCCTCTGGCACGCCAGGCCGCCGCGCGACCAGCATGCTGTACGTCGTGATAAACACATCACCGGGCATTTGCTTTTTGTCCGAAATACACACCGTCACCTGCTCCTCCGACAGGTTCGTCCAACGAAGGAACTCGCGCTGCCACTGTAGGACGGACATGACATTTATGCACATGACAATCGTCCGCTTCTTTAGGGTCGCCGCCGCCCCAATGCCCGTGAGCGTCTTCCCCGCCCCACACGGCAGCACAATCACCCCCTGGTGGGCCTTGTTTCCGCAACGAAAGCGCTCCAGTGAGGCCACTTGGTAGGGACGCAGACGCACGTCCTCAGCGAGCGCCAAGTCCCGCACGGCGAGTGTGCCATCCTGGCCGTAGTCGTAGAAGAGGTCCGCACAGACGCCAAGCTCCTTGAAGAGCCGCTCCCGCACATTGCGCAGCTTCCCATCTTTTACTTGGCTCTTGTAGACCAGGCGGGAATACTTTCTCCCTGTGCTGCCAGCATCGCCCACCGCCGACACGTCGGACGCCGGCGGGGTGTCGAAAAGTCTGCGCAACGTCTTGGCCCTGCCGCTCTCCACGACGCTCTTCTCCTCCACGCCTCGGTCCACGTCGGAGAGCACCCACCGCATCACACCGTGGAGGGACACGGGCACCAAAAACTCCTGCAGGCGGCTGACCAGGAACTCCAGATGCTGCCGATTTTGGCTCACGAGGAAGTACGCAAGCCTCTCCTCGTCTTCATGGTGCACCTGCCGTTGCAGATGCGACTGTTGTCGCTGGAATGACCGCAGTCGCGGCTGAAGCACGATGCGCACTCGCGACGACCGCTCCTCCTCCGAGAGCATCTGCTCCAGGTCCGGCGGCAAGGAACGGAGGGCGTCAGGGCAGCACACCGCACGAGAGACAAGCGGCTCCGGCCGGGCCACGACGCCCCTCACAAGCGAGAGAAAACGGCGAGGGGGCACGGCCGCCGCCTCAGTCGTTTCCCGCTTCACAAAGGAGGCTGGCTCGCCGTTCTCCTTCTTCACCCGCTTCAGCCCGCCCTCATCCGCGCCCGCCCCATCTTCGTCTCCCGGCGTTTTTGCAGGCAGCTGCTGCGACGCTTGCGCTGCCCCGGGCGCCACATCCGCCTCGTCCTCCAATCGCCGCACGAGCGCCGCGAACTTCGCCAGGTCCACCGGCAGTCGGTGCTGCTCGTCGAGGCGAAAGTGCCGAATGAAGTTCCGTATCATACCCGTCGAGTACGTCCCCTCGGCGCTCGCCGCGGAAAGGGAGGAGGGGGAAATGACGTACTCGCTCATGTGCAGCGTGCGGCAGACGGGCTCGCAGCATGACGTGAGGAAGTCCGCGAGGTGCGGGTAGGCGGGGTGGGCGTTGTTCACGAAGATGCTCCCGTTCGAGCCAACAAACATCTCGCACCCCCGCTGAGCTTCAACGCGGGCGTCGCTACGTTTGCCCCGTGGCCCCCACAGCACGCCGCCGCAAACGCAGACCAAAAAAAAGAAAAGAAAAAAAAAGGGAAGGGCGCGGCGTGGAGAGCGGCCGGACACGCCCCTCACAGGGGGGGGGGTCACCGCCGCACGGCAGGGAGACAACAGAGGCTCAGGCGCCCCCACAGAGAGCGAGAGAAAAAAAGAGGCGTCGAAACGCACCGGCGATTGTTTGCCAAATATCTCTCGCGCAGGGCTCGAAGATTTAAAAACGAAAAACAAAAAAAAGCAAAAAAACAAACAAACAAACAAACAAACGAAAAACAAAAACAAAAAATGGGGCCCAAATCAACGGATGCTCGAAGTGAGCAGACGGGCGGGGAGAAAGAAAATAAACCAAGCGGGAATAACCCTTTGACACACGTGGAACCAAAAAAAAAGAAGACGGAAACAAACACAAAAAAAAGCAAAGCAAAAAGGAGAGTAGAAGAAACAAAAAAACTCACACCACCACAAGAGAGAGACAAATGGAATAAAATCGAAAAAAAACAAACACAAAATATCTATTCAATGCAGCTCCTAATTTTTTTGTTGTTGTAATGTCCGTAAGCTCTTTGTTTCTGTCTTTTTTTTTGTCTAGTTTTTTTTTATTATTATTTTTTGCTTTTTGTTTTTTTTTCACCTTTCCGCGTGTGCGTACTGTATCCCGTGACTTTGGTACATCACTAAACTTGGCATCCATTGCACATTCGCTGGAAGCTCGCCTCCTCAACGGCTATCGCTCCGCCGCCGCCTCCACTTTGCGGCTTTCGCTTACTGTATACATTTCCCCACCTCCGCCAGCTCCCGCCGCCGCCGCCGGGCTAGAGCCGCAGCCAGGACAGAAAAAGGGCACAAAACTCGTTGAATGGCATTAAATCATCCTCCTCGCCGTCGCTCTCCTTCAGCCGGCGGCGGACGCTGAACGGCGTGACGTGCTCAAAGAGGCGCTCAATGTCCTTGTCGCCGCACGGCGCACCGTAGTTGGAGAATCCGGTTTTCATCATCTCACGCATCACGGAACGCTCCACGCCGCCGCGCTGGCGCACGTCAAACGCCTCGTACAGCTCCGCCAGCATGTCCTCCGACAACCCTACCACCCCAATCATGTCGAAGGAAATGCGGGTCGCCCGAGGCGCGGCGTCCAGGACACCGTTCTCGTTTATGCCGTACGTCGGTGAGGTCGCGCCGTCATCGTCGACAAACGTCAAAAGGCGGTTCATTGCGCCAGCACCGGACGAACCCCCTGACGCCGAGCTCGCGGGGCGACCACTGTGGCCGATGAGCTGCCCCATCAGCTCGTTGTTCGTGGGGAAACTCGCAACTTTCGCAACCTCCGTCGGCATTGTGGTGAGGCGCTTGGTATGGGCTCGGCTGTTGTTGCTGCTTTGTGTTAGTCTTGTGGGCTGCACTTGTACTTGCTGTTTTGCTTTGGCTCTTGTGCCGAGGCTTGAGACCGGAGGGCCGCAGGATCACTGGCAGGCGCCACCGCCACCACACATGCACGCAAGTGCAAGTAAAGGAAGGCAGAGGGGAAAATATACGTAAATAAATAAGAGAGGGAGCCAAGGGAGCGAAGGGGGAGTCCAGGCGAGGGGCGGCGAGTTCAAGCGATGTCCACAAGAAACGCGGGAACACAGGCAAGTAGAACTCGGCCGTCAGCAAATAAAAGAGAAAGCGAAGAGGGAGACACATCAGCTCACGCCTCTTACCCGTCGTCTTTTCCACACACGCACACACAGAGAGGGAGACACACATACACACACACATCCACACAGAGACACACATGAACGCAGCCGCCTCTGACGAGCACAGCGGTGATAATTAATTCTGCAGAATGCGCACGCAGTCGCAGTTATCCTTAAAGAAGGGGGAGCTCTGTGCAACTTCTCACAAGGGCTCAAAAAATCTGCGCATAACGAAAAACCGGAATGCCTGAAGAAGAAGGCCCTGCTCACTCGCTTTTCGCGATTCCACTAGACGCTCATACAGCGTCGGGGGCGGCGGAGGCCGAGGGCGGGAACGTGCGGGCTGTGACTGGCGCGACTGCCCCTCTTGTGGCCTCCTCCCTCGCCTCGACAGTGCCGCCGCTGCAACTGGCGCCAACATTCGGCTGACCTCCGGTGTTGCGTTTGTGGCGCCCTCCGAGTTGTCGTGCCTCCTTGCAGACAATTCAGCCGGCGGGCCGCCGTCATCCTCCACGAGCTCCAAGGCCGCAGCCTCTGCACGGCCCTCGCCGTCGCAGGGCGACGCCACGCCGCCCTGCGTGCCCCTATCGTCCCCTCCTGAAGGTGCAGGGGCGTCGTCGACTTGGCCCTCACTGTCGCCTGCGTTTTGGGCTGCTGGTTTCGCCTCTTCAGCGTCGCGCTCCGTGCGGCGCCTTTGCCGCGGCGGCTCCCGACGCTCCTCGCCCCAAACAGTCCGCCGCTCGAAGGTCTCGTCGCCTCTCGTGGGGCATTCGTCGACCCAGTGGCGGCCCTTCTCCCCACAGCGGGGGCAGACGTAGAACGATGGCACGGTCTTTGCATCGCGGTAGCGCTCACGTATGAGCTGCACCCTCTGGCCTCGCGTTAGCGTGCCGTTTGGACCAAGGGGAATAATCCGCTTTGGGCGCCCGGGAGCTGGAGGATGCTCCGCTGCCGTCGGGAGATGTTCCCTCACAGCGGCCTCTTCCGCATGGTGAGGTGGTGTCGGCACCGGCAACCTCTGCCTCTCCGTAACCTCCTCCTTTTCCTCGGGTTCCTCCTCGTTCGCGTGTTGCTGCTGCTGCTGTCGCCTGTGCCGCTCGGCCGCTTTACTGGTCGCAGCACGTGCAGACTGCTGCAGGGCATCGGAATCAATGTATGCCTCCTCGGTTCGAGGGCGTTTCCGCACAAGGACACCGTGCTGACGCAGCCAGCGGCGACGCTCGTCCGGCAGGATAACTCCCCTAGACGCCTTATAAAAGAGTTCCTCCACCTTCGACTTCACCGCGTCCTGTGTAGGGAAGCGCTGCTTACGCTGCGACAGGTACGTCCCAACATCGGCAAGGTCAGGCGCATCCGGACGGTTGTGAAGGGTCTCCATGTGCATCTCCATCTTCCACTCCTTGCCCTTTCGGCAGGTGAAGCGGCAGCCCGGCACGGTGCACCAGATGTGCTCCAGCATGTGTTTGTCGTACCGCTCCTGGGCAAAGAAGCCCTTCTGGCAGGCATCGCAGTAAAATTTGCAGTCCTCGCGATCTACCGGTGCCGCAGGGGTTGCCAAGCCAGGAAGCCCAATGAGGGGGTTTGCCGGCAAGTCACGCCAAGAACGCAGCTCTCGGTGTCTCGTTTCCCCATACGCAGTTGTCTCTGGAAAGGACGGGGGGAGAAGCATGCGAATGCACACAGGCTTCCTGTTCCCCTCAACGCTGTGAGTTCCACTAGGGTGGGAGGGGCTGCCATGCGGGGAATCATTAATTCGCCCAGTGCTGGGCGTCACTTCTGGGGTAAATGGAATATCGCGCCGCTCTGCGGGCCGAGAATACACGTGGCGCGAATACGGGTCGTGGCCGTGGGTGCGCGTCTGCGGAGCCTCCGTGGCAACGTCAGGGCCCGGGGCGACGTACCGACGGTTGCGCAGGGGCGAGTCAGGCGAGCCACGCGCAGGCTCAGCTGGAAGCGCGGGGATCGTGCCGCGTGTAAGGTGCGCCCGGTGGCCCGAGGACGTCTCCCGCCTCATCGCCATACCCGCCAGCGCCCCACGGAGGAATTCAGGCAAACACACACGCACAGCGCGAGAAAGGGGAGTAAAATAACAAAACCAAGCCCGAAAGCCACGTCTTAGCGGGGAAGGAATAATGGGGGAGAGATGCCAGCGGCTGGAACAGGCCAAACGGTCCCAGCGACCAGAAACGGGGCGCGCTGCGCGCGCGGCTAGCCCCCGCAACGAAACCCGAAAGACGGGGGGAGGGGCTCAAGGGCGCCTGGATGCACAGGAGCGAGAGGAGCGGCGCTACCCGACGGAGACGTATTTGCTTCCGCACCGGCAACTCACCACCCAGTCGAGCGCCTTCTGCTGCTGCGGCTTCTCAAGAAATAAACAAAAGGCAAGAGGGTAGAAAAAAAGGTGGGCAGTGAAAAAATCCAAGCAGCTTTCGCAAGGACACGCAGCGCATACACAACAGCAAACCAACAAATAACGACGACGCGCCACAAAACCAAACAAACGAAAAACAAAACGAGAAAACAAGAGCCAATCTATGGGGCTGTGTGCAACTCGCAGGCGCTACACGGCGGGGGCATCAGCATCCGGAGACGTCATTCGCGTCGGAAGCGCCGAGCCGGCCCACGCACGCCGCGTGGCTGTTAGCGCGCGAGACGGGCAGAACACAGGCGATGAAAGCAAGGTGAGGGGGCGTCGTGGGTGCGGGCGCCCGCCCCCATCACCCCTGCTCCGTCTAGGGCGAGAAGAGGGGCGGCCGCCGCCGCACGCCTACGCGCGCTCGCCGCGGAGGCAGAGGGCCAGGTGGATGTCCTTCGGCTGGATCGTCACGCGGCCGCTGTGGATGCACGCGCGGTTGGTGTCGGCGAGCAGCGACACGACGTACGACTCCGTCGCCTCCTGCGCCGCGAGGATCGCGCTGCTCTGG